CTGCTGCTGCTGTTGCTGCTGGCCCTGCTGCTGCTGCTGTTGCAGCTAATCCTGCTGCTGCTGCAGCTGATCCTGCTGCTACTTGTGTGGGCCGCTATGCGTATGCTGCTGCTGCTGCTTGTGCTGCTGCTGTTTCTTGCTGCTTTTATTTATGCTGCTGCTGCTGCTGCTGCTGCTCGTGCTGTTGCTGCAGCAGCAGCACCAGGAGTGCTGACTCGTTGCATTTGTGTTCTGTTCCTGCTGCTGCTGCTGCTGCTTGTGTTGCTGCTGCTGCTGCTGCTGTGTGTTCAGTGCTGCTGCCCGCATTATCTCTAAAGCGTTTGCAGGGTCAGGGGGCCCCCACAAACAGGTTTATAGATGGGGGCCCCCTCAGCGAGTGCACAACAAGAGCTACAGCAGCAGGCTGGCTTGATTCGGGTTCTTTGTCTTCTATTTCTCCCCTCGATGCGGGGGCCCTAGAAGGGTACTGGGGCCCCTCCTCGCAGCACACGCCCCCATCAGCGGGGCCCCTACGCACCCTCATGGGGGGGCCCCCCCCAGGGGGGCCCCCTGGGGGGCCCCCAGGGGGGCCCCTAGATGACAGTTCCACACACACAGATACCAGAAGGGTACTACACACCCATGAGGGGCCCCACCAACAGAGACAGACAAATGGAGGCAACATATATAAAGGGGGGGGGGCCCCCCCCCTTGCTGCTGCTTCTCTATTGAGCGAGCGGAGCTGGGAGAGGGGGCCCCCAGGGGCCCCCCCTACCGCAGTGCAGCAGCAACTGACATTGGGGGGTGGTAGCTCTATGTGGGTACCGGGGGAGGGCCCCCTGCAGCAGCCAGCAGTGGGGGCCCCCCTCCCTCGGTGTCTCTCTGTAGGAAATTATGGTGTGATAGATGGGGCCCAGTCACAGCAGCAGCAGCAGCAGCAGCAACAGCAGCAACAGCAGCAGCAGCAGCAGCAGCAGCAGCAGCAGGAAAAATGTTCCTGGTTAAGAGACAGCCAAAGAGACGGCTTAGAGGCCCCAGCAGAATGGGGTTTACTTGGGGGGGCCCCCGCAGCACCAACAGGGGGGCCCCCAACGGGGGGCCCCCAGTGGCTGGCTGCAGTGGAGAGCAGCTGCCAGGGGGGCCCCCCCCAGGAGG